GAGGGGATGGGAGGGGATGGGAGGGGATGGGAGGGGATGGGAGGGGATGGGAGGGGATGGGAAGGGATGGAAGGGGATGGGAGGTAGAAAAGAGAGGCCTCCCTGAGATGCCACTGGAAAAATACCTAAGGGAGGTGAGGAAGCCAGGCAGGCGTGTGGGAGAGAGGTATTCGAGGCAGCAGGACCAGCCTGTGCCAAGGTCCTGGGGCCACAGCAAGCCTGGCGTGTTGAACAGCGAGTAGTGGAATAAGTAGGGCTGGGGGCTGGGAGATGAAGACAGAGAGGGGAAGGGTGTGGATTCTGACGGCTCACAGGCCCCTCTAAGAACTTTGACTTTCCCCCTGTGTGATTGGGACGGCTGTACTGTATTGAGCTGTCGTGTGTACACAGCTTGCCTGGCATGTATGCAGTAAGTGCTCAGCCAATGCTGGCTCCTCTTGTTGTTTTTATCTTCCCACCATAATGGGTTGAACCGTGTCCCCAAAAAAGAGATATTGAAGTCCCACCCACCCCCCTCACCCTCTGTCCTGTGATTATGACTTTATTTTAACACAAGGTCTTTACAGATGTAATTAAGTAAAAATAAGGTCATATCTGAATCGGACGGGCCCTCCATCCACTGTGGATTGTTTTTGCTTTTATTTTGAGACAGGGTCTCATTCTGTCACCCAGGCTGGAGTGCAGTGTTGCAATCATAGCTCACTGCACCCTCAACCTTCTGGCTCAAGCGATCCCCTGCCTCAGCCTCTCGAGTAGCTGGGATCACACACAGGTGCCACCACACCTAGCTAAGATTTCTACGTTTTAAGCCATCCGGTGTGTGGAAAACTAATCCGCCTGTCTCGGGAATTAGGTCATTGATGGGCAAGGCTGTCCTGGTTGTCCTAGAGCCCAGAGCCACACTGGGCTTGATGGGGGTGCCACCTGGGTCCAGGCCTGAGGCTGCTGGGCTGGCCCAGGCATGGAGGAAGCCAGCTCCCCAGTCCCGGGGCTGTGCACTGGGTGCCTCACCGTGTATCTGCAGCTCAGCGCTCAGGGAGGCCTCGCCTGGGAACCCTGCCCACAACAAGGCCTCACTGTTGTGCCAGCTCTGGCCGGAGAGCTCCAGGTGCCCATCACGGTAACAGCAGCTCATGGAGTAGTTGAGGAACGTGGGCCCCATCACGACGCGTCCAGAATGCTCGAAGGCAGAGCTGCCGTTGTGAATGTCCACAGAGACCTGGAATGACACCAAGGAGACGCTGGACCGTCCTGTGCAGAGAGAGCCAGCCTGAGTCAAGGTGGCACTGGCTCCCACAAACCCTGGGGTTATCAGTGCCATTCACATCACTGTGGTGGGAGGAACTCACACCCTCTTGCAGAAGGTTTGATGACCAACGTGGTTACTCCAGCTAATTACACATGCACCCAGGAGACCATAGAGAAAACCCGCAGAAACCAATCAGGAAGCGGGGCAGGCAGGGGAGAGTAGGCCTGGGGAGGATGGCTGGAGAAAGGCTTTGGGAAGACCAAGATCTCCTGGCTGGTGCGAAACAGGTTGCAAACCACAGCCTACATCTGTTCTTGTAAACAAAGTCATTGGAACACAGCCCTGCCTGTTTGTCGTAGGCATTTGAACCAGAGCAACTCCATCTTGAATAGACGCTGCGTAAAATAAGGCTGAGACCTACCGGGCTGCATTCCCAGGAGGTTAGGCATTCTAAGTCACAGGACGACATAGGAGGTCAGCACAAGACACAGGTCATAAAGACCTTGCTGATAAAACACGTTGCAGGAAAGAAGCCAGCTAAATCCCACCAAACCAAGATGGAGATGAGAGTAACCTCTGGTCGTGCTCACTGCTACACTCCCACCAGCGCCATGACAATTTACAGATATCATAGCAACGTCAGGAAGTTACCCTATATGGTCTAAAACCGGGAGGCATGAATAATCCACCTCTTATTTAGCATATCATCAAGAAATAACCATAAAAATGGGCAACCAGCAGCCCTAAATTGTTTCTTGCCCAAGATCCAAGAACCCTCCCTTGGGGTCTGGATTGAGACTCCGTTCCGGTAACATGTTCACGTCCTGTTCCCGTGACTGCTTTCACAACACAACAGCAGCAGAATGGAGGCACTGCGGCAGAGACTGCAGGGCCACAGAGCCTAGGACGTTTACCATCCGGCCCTTGATGGAAAAAGTTTCTCAAACTTTGCTGTGAGATAATTCCCTCCCATGCCACCCACAATTGTCTCGGTAAAACCTTCAGTGAGGCCAGGTGCACTGGTTCACGCCTGTAATCTCAGCACCTTGGGAGGCCAAGGCCGGTGGATAACTTGAGGTTAGGAGTTTCCGACTGTCCTGGCCAACATGGCAAAACCCCATTTCTACTAAAAATACAAAAATTAGCCAGGTGTGGTAGCAGTTGTCTATAATCCCAGTTACTCAGGAGGCTGAGGTGGGACACTCTCTTGAACCCTGTGGGCGGAGGTTGCAGTGGGTTGAGATCACGTTACTGCACTCCAACCTGGGCGAAAGAGCGAAACTCCATCTCAAAAAACAAAAACCTTCAGTGAAATCTCCACCACCTCTTCCACCACTATCAAAGGAGCTACCAAGGCATGAAGGAGCAGCGATGAATGAGGGAGGTGGAGAGGACACCTTGGGCCCCTGTGACCCAAACAATGAGCTGCGGCCCAGCCGTGACTGCATCACCTGGGCTGAGAAATGCAGGTTCTCAGGCCCCACCCCAGACCTGCTGAATCAAGCCTGCATTTTAACGCCCTCCCTGGTTATGCCTGTGTACTGGGTGTGCAGGAAGCCCCACTTTAGGCAGAAGGCCGCATCTGCCATGGGACCCCACAGGAGGTCCAGGTCTGCTGGGCTCTGATCATGCGCCACCCACCCTCTGGCATGACAGCCCAGGACTCAGGGCTGGACTTATCGTAAGTTTCAGGGGCTCTGTACTGCTGGCCAACTCTGCAAGACCTTCCCCATCCATCCTGGGCCACACCCAGGCCTGCCTGCTACGCCTCTGCTGGTGTCACCGCTGACCTTGATGGCACCAAGGAGACTCAGTGTGAGAGCAGAGAGGCCATGGCTGAGCTCTCTGTCACTATCCACGGAGCGCTTCCCTGCACCCCAACCCCAGAGGGCAGAGCTGGGGAAACTGAGGCCTGAGCCCTTATCAACACATAGCTGGCTCCCTGGACTTTCCCCCCAGGACTGGGCGTTCCCAGGGTCCAGTCAACCCTAGACCAGGGGTTGTAACTTAGTGGCCCTTGAGCTGATAAGTTTTATGTGGTCACTCACTCTGATATTTTTTGTGTTGTTGTTTGTGAGACGGAGTCTTGCTCTGCCACCCAGGCTGGAGTGCAATGGCGCAATCCTGGCTCACTGCAATCTCTGCCTCTTGGGTTCAAACAATTCTCCTGCCTCAGCCTCCCAAGTAGCTGGGACTACAGGCACACACCACCATGTCCAGCTAATGTTTTTGTATTTTTAGTAGAGACAGGGTTTCACCATGTTGGCCAGGCTGGTCTCGAACTCCTGACCTCAAGTGATTCACCTGCCTTGGCCTCCCAAAGTGTTGGGATACATGACATCATGTATAATTCTGTTTGTATGAAATTTCCAGAATAGACGAATGCATAGGGACGGAAGGCAGATTCATGGTTGCTGGGGACCAGGGAGGAGGAGATAGGAGGGACTACTGATGGATATGGGGTTTCCACTGGGGTGATGAAAAGTTCTAGAACTTGCAAGCACCGATGATTGTAGAATAGTGTGAACGAACATAGCGTCTCCGAGTTGTATACTTTAAAACAATTTTACATTATTACACACATTTTACTACAAGAAATGTGAAAAGATACATATGATGTGGAGGGTCTGAGACGTGGCATACACTCTAGTTCCCCACACAGCTCAGTGACACATTTCAGTTCTCCGCCTGGCCCCCAAAGGCTCTCAGTTTGCAACCCCTGCACCCAACTCACGCAGGTTTAACATTGAAACAGCAGGAGCAGGCCAGGTGCAGTGGCCCACGCCTGTCATCCCAGCACTTTGGGAGGTTGAGGCAGGCGGATCACTTGAGGTCAGGAGTTCAAGACGAGCCTGGCCAACATGGTGAAACCTCTCTATTAAAAATACAAAAATTTAGCTGGGCATGGTGGTGGACGCCTGTAATCCCAGCTACCTGGCAGGCTGAGGCAGGAGACACTTGAACCTGGTAGGCAGAGGTTGCAGTAAGCTGAGGTCATGCCACTACACTCAAGCCTGCACAACTGAGCAAAACTCCCTCTCGGGAAAGGAGAGGGGAGGAGAGGGGTGGAGGGGGAGAGGTTTAAGACCCTGTCTTAAACCTGGGGATACTACCAGGCACGAAATAGAAATGCCTGAGCCCATGACGCTTAGGTGGCAGTGGTGGGAGGCAGACAGGACAAGGAGAAAGGCATTGTGCTTCCTGCCTGCTCTCCTCGGCAGAGAGAGCTTGAAGCCACCTGAGCTGAGCTGCACGCCAGCCCTGAGCTCCACGGTCCACTTGTCTCATGATGCTAGGACATGCCCACGACCAGTCCAGCTGTCCACTAACCCAGCTGCCCATAACAGAGGTGGGCTTGCAACCCTTGGGGCCTGGTTGACGTCTACCTGTGTTTGCAGATGGGACCACACGAAGACCCTCAGGTTGAGCTGATGCCCCTGGGAACTGGGAGTCCAGGTGCATGTCACCAGGGATGTGGGGGGTCTTGAAGGAGGGGGACCATGTGAGTATCTCCTGGCAGTGACCTCAGCCCCGGGCCACACCACAGGCAGCCCCTGTGATCAGACTGTACCAGCCCCGCTGAGGGGGTCCACTATGGACCACAACCATCCCGCCCAGGACAGAGACCCCATACCTCGAGAGGCTGCCCAGCGATGTCTCCTCGGCACCATCCTAACAGCTGGGTGGGCGAGGCGTCTCCACTGCAGTTGACCTACAGAGACCAGTGGGTGGGAAGGGGCTGGCTTCTTTCCCGACCCCACAGTGAACTGTCATGGGTGCCAAGATCCCACTTGACCCTACCCTATGGGGAAGCCACCGAGGGCAAACAACCCGAAAGAGAGGTTTGCACAGAGACTTGAGGGCGAAGCCACAGCCTCATCATCTGATGAAGGTAAGCAGAGCTCCCCCCATGCAGGGCCTCTGCGCCAGGCACGGTGCTCACTGAACCTCAGAGTAACCATGGAAGGAGGTGGCAGATGAGGAAACTGCGTCACCCGAGTCAGGGAAAGACGAAGCATCTTGCGTGTGGTCACATAGTCAGCGATGGTGCAGCCTGGCTTCAGCCCAGGAGCCCTGGTCA